CAAAACAAGCATAAAAAATCTAAACACTATGTATTTGCTATACATAATAATTTAAATAAAACCAGCTTTTTATTAAGATTTATTATTTTATTTATATCTGTGTGTGTGAACCTGAGTTTATGTACACCATGTGTGTACAGGAGCCTGAAAAGGTCAGAAGGCGGCACTGGATCCCCTGGAACTGGAGTTACAAGCACTGTGAGCTGCCATATAGATACTGGGACCTGAACCTGTGTCCTCTGCAAGGGCAGTAAATGTTTTCCTAACCACCAAGGCATCTCCCCATTCCAAGTAAACCAATCTTAGATGCTACAAAGGTTAAAGTTTTTGTAGAAAACATAGGGCCATAGCATTGAGACTTGTGGAAAGCAGTGATTTCTAATACAAGCTAAAGAAAATGACACATTTTAAAATATGGATAAACTAGAATTAGCAAAAAAAAATTTAAAACCTTCTGTTCATAAAACAGCGTATCTAGGCTTGGTGGAACAGGCCTGTAATTCTAGCTGCTTGGAAGACTGAGCCAAAAGAACAAGTTCAAGCCTCGTCTGGGCAACTTAGACCCTGTCTCAAAATAAATAATACTTTTTTTTGTGGTGGTGCACGCCTTTAATCCCAGCACTCGGGAGGCAGAGGCAGGCAGATCTCTGTGAGTTCAAGGCCAGCCTGGTCTACATAGTGAGTTCCAGGACAGCTGGGGCTACAGGGAGACCCTGTCTCAAAATGACAAAAAAAAATTATTATTTTTATTTTATGTGTATGAGTGTATTGCCTGCAATGTAGGTAGGTGCACCCATGTCCTACAGTACTTGCAGAGGTCAGAAGAGGGTGTCGCATCTCCTGGAACTGGAGTTACGGATGGTTGTTAGCTGCCATGTGGATGCTGGGAACCAAACCTAGGTCCTCTGCAAGAGCAGACAGTGCTCTTACCCACTGAGCCATTTCTCTAGTCCAACAATAATATTTTTGTTTTGTTTTGTTTTTGGTCTTTTAAAAAATTTTTTATTTTATTTTTTATTTTATGTGTCTGCATGTATTGTCTGCATGTAGGTAAATGCGCCTGTGTCATGCAATGCCCACGGAGAACAGAAGAGGCTGTTGGATTTAAGACTTGAAAGACATTAGGGTATATGAATCCATGTATCTACTCTAACATGTTTCTTTCTTTTTTTTTTTAAGAGATAAACTCTTTTTTTATTATTTTTATTTTATGTGTATGTGTATATTGCCTGCATGTAGGTAAGTGCACCCATATCGTGCAATGCCTGCGAAAGACAGAAGAGGCCATTGGATCCCCTGGAACTGGAGTTATAGACAGTTGTTAGCTGCCATGTGGGTGCTGGGATTCGAACCCAGGTCTTCTGTAAGAAGAGCCAGTGTTCTTAACTGCTGAGCGATCTCTATGGCCCCTTTTATGGTATTTTTGAAACAGGATCTCCGGGTAGCCACAGCTGGCCTGGATTTGCTATGGAGACCAGGCTGGCCTCAAACTCACAGATTCTCCTGACTCTGTCTCCCAAGTGCTGGGATTAAAGGTGTGCGCCACCATGCCCAGCTACCAAGGACAATTTTTTTAAAAAAGTTTCTAGGTTCAGTCTCCAGTACTAGGAAATAAAAAAGCAAAACAAACTAAGCACAGAAATTGAGCTTCAATTTGGAAGAAAATATTTCAGCATACAAATTTGAAAAAGGAATTTTTAATTTTTTTTGTTTCTGTTTTTGTCTTTTGATACAGGGTCTTACTATGTAGGCCCAGCTGGCTGGGAATGCACTATGTAGAGCATTCCAGGCTGGCCTCAGTCTAACAGGGATCTGTCTGCCTCTGCCTCCTGAGTGCTGGGATTAAAGGCAGAGGCCACATGCCTGGCTGAAAAATGATTTTAATTCCAAGCACTTAATAATACAAGTAACCAGGCAAAAAACTTGAACTATTCATAATAGGAGAAATAGCAACCCCCCAAAAGTGTTCAACTTCATTAATCATCATCAAAATTTAAACTTAAAATCTCAGACACTCTGTGACCAATGAGATGACTAAAATGAAGGATTGACATGGCAGATGTTAGTGAGGTGAGGGAGTCCACAGTGCTCTCAAACATGCTGGCGACAATGCAAAATGGTGCCACTGTTTTTGGAACATGCTTTTTGACATCTCCTACAAAGATAAGCACCCCCTCCCAATATGACTGATTTGCATTGCTATTCCTGCATTGCAGTAAAAGAAGTAGAAGCTTAGGTTCACAAAAACAGATTCAAATGAATGGTCACCATTGACTTTTTTTCTCCCTTAGTAGCTTGCATAGTGTCCTTTGAACTTATGAGAGCTAGTCTGCAGGGAGCAGACTTCCAGGTCTGTTCCAGTTCCACTGCTCCAAGTCCTGTGTTGGAAGTATGTCTTATCTTCAGCAACAGGGTCTTACCTTCAAGTTCTGGGAGGAAATCAAGGATTGTGGCAATGGCCTGTGTTTTTTGGGGGGAGTCTCTTGGACTACCTTGACCAACAACCTGAAAGGACATTTTTCCCGTCTGATACCATGTTTCTTGTTATATGGCCTTCAGCTATACCTAATAACCACAACAATGACTAGCAAAGCAAACTATCTTTGTTGGTGCAGTAGCAGCACTTTCATCAACAGCTATTTAACTTAAAGCCTGCTCAATGGAAGGAAACTCACGTGGTAGTGTAAACATAGCTAAAGGCACATGGCTGGATAGGTCATAAATCCTAGAGAAAATCCTAAGTCTGTCACATCTCTAGATAAGCTCAATTTCTTATATATGTTAAATATGTATCCTTATATTTACAGAAAAGTATATTGTCATCACTTGTTAAAAAAGTTGCTTTTTCCAACAGATGTGACACAACTGGTCAAATATGGAAAGTAAGTGTGAGATATCTAGTCCTAAGTGACACACCTACAATGGAACCTAAGACTCATGGAGGAATAGGGGTACAGAAAATACTAATGCATCTCCCAACTCTCACCAGTGAAGTTTCCTCATTCAACAGAGGGTGAGTAACACAAAAAGTCACAACTGGCCAAAATGTAGAGACTAAGAGACTGCAGAGTATATGTTCCTGCATAGGGCTCTATATTAAATCTCACTTCAGGGACTATTATGGAAGAGAGGGCCAAAAGTTTATAAGAGCCAGGGGTGGTAGATGACCACAAGGAAACAGTTTCTAGGCTTCTAGGAACTTGCTCATATGAACTTACAGCAATGCTGACAGCAGGCATAAGACCCATGAAAACTCAAACCAGACAAAAACCAGCATAGAACTAGGGAAATGGGCAAGAAGCTCCAACCTTAGCCGAGCAACTATTGGTAACTGATCACTGCTGGGAGATGGAGAGTTGATCTTCTTTAGGGAGTGATGCTAGATAGACTGATCCGGCTCCAGTGGATGAACTCACTGAGGGACATCCGGGACACAAATTTGACTTGATAGGCCTTAACATATATGATAGAATGCATGAAATTTGGTGGTGGGGGGCAGGAGGGGTGCAGATAGGAGATGGGGTCTAAAGATGTATTGTATCTAATGCACAAAAATGTGGTATGTTGACATAATGAAATATTCTCAAACAATAACAAAGGAACAAATTACTGATTT